TTCTGTGCAGATAGATGGCTCTTTTTTAGGGCTCGGAACTCACAACTTTGATTTTTTTTACAATGATAATAAAACAACATAATAAGCATGTGAGAATAATCCACCGCTCTTGAATTTAATCCAATGAAGGCTAATTAAAAGCAGAGGTATTAAAACAGGTCATGCCTCAGCTTGTCATGCGAATGTGCTACAGCTTGCTGCAAGTTCCAAGCCCACCCACTGTGCAGCTTCCTGACAAAGTCCAGCCTTTGTGTTACACACAAATGTTGCTTTCCTGCACCTTTTCCACAAAGTATTACAACACGTGGGATTTTTGGGACAGAAATGCTTGAATGCTTTGTAGATATGATCACTGTCATGGTACAGCTGAAAGAAACCTTTCTTGGCATGCTTCTGAGACAGATTTCTACATAAACAGGGTGGATCCCTTCCACACAAGAGAGTACTGTCACAGTGTGCTAATGCTGAATGTGATGTAAGAATAAATAAGTTATATTTCGCATATATTTTTGAAAAATTAAGTCACATTTGTATGATTTCTCATGAACAGGATGTCACTTCACTTCTAAAACCTTCTTAAAACTAAAAAGCTGTACACTCATAATAACTCAGATGAGCTTATTAAAAACCTAAACCAAAAGCACTAACTCTTATTAATGAACACAGTTGTTACTGTGTTATAAATAATGAGCCAGTTGAGCAGGTGACGCTAAATGAGTGGTACAGCCCATCTGGAGCTGATTAAATAAAACGTATCACTCAAAAACAATTTCTGTAACAGGACCAGCACAATCGCAAGGATACAGACACAGTGCATAACCCAGTCTATTGCATTAACATGCTTAAATTGAACAGATATTTTATGGTAATAGTTTGGGGAATACTTAATTTTGTTATTGAGGCAGAGCGGTGTGCTTGTGCAGTCAAATATGTAACTTTTGGTGACAATGGTTTGATAATGTACAGCCCTTTGCAATTAGGGTTGTTGCAAAATCAGTTTTAAAGCTGAAAATGAGGCCTGCGTTTCAACAATGTCAACGGCTAAGTTCCATGACTATTAAATGTCACTGTACAACCACATCTCAAACAGTTCTCCAAGAGAATGTTTTGGTTTATGGATGGACATTTAGGACAGTTTCTCTCACAGCAATCATGGTTCCTATTAAGTGTTTCCCATCATTATTACTAAGTATATGTGTCTCTCCTTATTTATCACTATCACCAAAGTATTCAGAGAGAGAAATATAATGATCCTGTCACTGATAAATAAAGAACCTCAAAAGTACTTGTTCACTGTCTTTTGCTAGGCCTGACATGGCAGCTTATTTTTCATATCTGTGTGTGGGTTTGCTATATAAACATAGGACCCGCAGGATCAAAATACGGCACAGCAAGTGCAGTAAAACAGCACTTGAGAGACGGAGATGAAACAAGCAACGCCACCACGGGCACAGGCACTTGGAAGAGGATCTGAGGATCGCTCAGCTCCAAAGCGCATTCTCTCTTTCTCCCTTTTCCCCTTGTTCTCAATATTTCCTAATAATTAGCGCTGCGCCACAGATGTGCATTTCTCCCTCTTCACCCTTCTCCCTTTCCACCCTCTCCATCCTCTGAATGTGAATGTGGGACATTAGGATGATGATTTAAAGACAGCATCATATGCTTTCTATTTGATAATTTAAAATTCAGGACAAAGATGAAAGCTGAATGGCCCATACGAGGAAAAAAAGCTGTGGAGAATTATAGGCAAGCGTATTTAAGGACTGTAATCATATTTAAAGTAGTCTAATGAACCCAAACATATGGGGAGGGAAAGAAACGAAAAATGCGAGTGACTTTGGAAGTTTGAAAATCAACTCACTGGACTTCATAAAGCCTGAGGAAAACAGGATAAATGAGTCAACAAGCAATAAAATGTTCAAAGGCGACTGATAACTTCATTTAGTGAGATTATGGGAGAAAAATTCAAGTTCAACAAGGCCAAAATTATCTGATTGGAACTGATTGGATATCCTCTTTCTTACTTAATGAATCATTTCCCCCCATAAAGAAGTATCAAACCTAAGCTTCCACCCATACTATTAAAACCTGATGAGTGACTCTGAGATCATGAGATCGAGCAAGACAGTGATTCAGTGCACACTTTCATCTTCTGACATTTTAATTCACCTTTATTTGAAATGGAATCACATCTAAAACAAACCTGAAACCAAATCCATCTTCAATTTAAATGTATCCTTCCTTTTGAGTCACTAATTAAAGTGCCACCAGAGCATGTGACTGCACTGTTACTGAACACAGGAACTTGTCTGCTTTGATTCCGGCTTTAGCTATAAACATTTCCACGCAGCAAAAAAAAAAAAAAAACGGCTCTGCACATAGCTGAAATAAATGGCACTTCATCACACGGAGCCCAGCTTTGTTACTGATGAGATTTTAGAAAAAATGCCTCCTGGGTTCCCTCAATTAAGCTGCGGAGAGGGACATATAACCTGCTGCAACACATAATCCCTCCATTTTACTCAAGCTACTTCCTGACCCTCGGATCTCCCTCGTGAATGCTGAACCTGGCATTTTTCTCCATCAGACACCCTGGATATGGAGTTATGGATGTAGGTTAACAGGTCTTGTTAACAGGGATCCAGTAATGAAATGGCTGCTTTCTTGCTTGAAATTCTTAACTCACAGAGATAGTTTAAATTCAGCCGGACTAGGGAGGAGGTCCCTGGTTTACTGGGGCCCATAAGGGACCACACAGCTGGTCTGCAATAATTGCTCGTGCAAGGGACCGTGCAGAGAAAAGACCAGTGCAGAAGGTAGAGAGAGTAACTCCTTCTCTAACCCTGCTGGACAACGTGCTGTGTGACTAGTCCATCCCAGGTGGGTCCAGTCTTGTGAAACATAAAATAGCATTTGCATCAACACTTGGAGACTCGGACTTTGGAAGGCCTTCTCTTGCTCTCTCTGTCATCTCATTCCCACTCTTGATATCATTTCCCCTCTGACTTTCTTGCTTTCTCTCTCTCTTTCTCTCCATTGCTCTATTTTTGTAATTTGTCCTCATTGCTGTTTCAAATGGAAAATCTGAACAGGGGTTTACCTCCACCTAGTGGTAAAGTTGTGCAGCAGCTCCATATACACTGTATGTCAGACTCGTCTGCAAGTGTCTGTTTAGTGTCTTGTAAAGTCACATTTATGCAAGCACATTCTTGGAGTATGTGTATTTCAATTTAGTTATACTTGTATTATTTTAGAGGTCATTATGTTACTATACTGATCAGATGTCTGTAGATTATAGGTACTTAGCAGAATGAGTTTGTACATGTCATACATATGGTATCCCATGGACCAAAACCAACTAACAAGTATTCTCTGTGCATCTAAACCCTGACCTTTTTACTCTGTAAAAACACATAAATGAGCCACATGACATGTTCTGTCACTCCCAAGTCATCAAATACAGACGTTTTGTCATGCCCCATATGCCTCTTACAGATACACAAGGCAAGCCTACCCTTTAGTCGGCAGCACTGGGCTTTAGGGAGTCAGGGGACTTAGACAGTGCAACATAATTTCCCACCAGATTTTCGATAACTCTCTAGCCTCTGATTGGCTAGTAGTCCTTGCCTCCACTGGTTAGGTTGGTAAAGCTTAAATGTTATGTCATGTAAAATACTTATTTGATCTCAAACCATGGTCTTTCCTAAACCTAACCACCAAATGTATATTAATCCGCTGCTGAGAATAGTTAGAAACAAATGTACTATGTACTCCTCTTTAAGTAATGTTTGCCAAAACTACAGTACCCATCTGAAAGGAAATTATTTTGCCTTTTTAATGATAACATATATTAATTAACCTGTTTTTAAAGGTGTATGTCTTTATAAGGAGAAAACGTGTTTTCAATATCACCAGCCTGATCTTTTAAAATTGCTACCACTGAAACAACTACGTGTCATAGTGACACCTGTCCTCACTCCTCCTCCAGACTCTCTTTCTTCCTTTAATGCAGTGGTCATGCCACAAAGTGACCTTCGCTCGTCCATGGGACCTAGGAGGCAGCCAGAGGCTTGTTGACGAGACTGCTCGCAGGGCAGTTGGTGAATTGCTGTGGCTGGTGAGCTAACCGTTAGCTCAGAGACAGCTACTGTTCTGTTTATTTTCAACCTGGCATACAACATTGAATTTCAAGCTCCTGCCAATCACCTGACCCTGCTCCTTCCTGCACATCTGTTCCTCATTCCCTTATTGAACCACAACTGTCCCTTATTTCCCCATTAAGCCACAACATGAATATCAGCCACTTTCCAGCTTGTTATTTGTGTTATGTTTTAGAAATACTAAGATCGTCAGTCAAAGTAATGATCTTCTCTTCACCTTTTTTTTGTTCCAGATATGTTTGCATTTTAAACTTGCTCCAAAAAAGTGAATAAATTACATTTGGTAAAACATGGATAGAATAGATAATATGTTCGTTGGAATCTAATAAACAATGCAGTTGTTTTGCCTCTCTGACCTTTACTACTTTAATTTGCATTCACCGATTTGGTTGGTTTGTTTTACCTTTCTTGGGTAATTATGTGCAAATATGTAGAGCTGCGAAAGACTTGGTAGTCCATATTTTATAACGTTATAATATGATGCAGATGTTATGGTGACTGAAAATAATCTTGTTATTCACAAAAAAATATTAATAATTAAATTCTATTACCAGACTAGTTGCAGTTCAATACTGGAGTGTGACAACTGAATACATTGACATTTGCTTGATATATTTGATGTCTATAAATGTGTGTCAAGTTAAATTTGAAGCAGCATATGATATTTAAAATAACAGTACTGTATTGCATCAGACTGGCCTGTCCCCATTGTTTGTAGCATTGACCTGGAAATAAAAAAAGGAAATTACGTAGTATTTTGTAAAATATAATATTAAATATTTTGGTTTCCTTGCAGAATAAACACACATCTCGGTTGTCAAAATAATAAGCCACTCTTGATAAGATGTTAATACCTCAGCCATTTTTATTTCTTAAACATAAGAAGGGACTTCTCCAAGGTAAGAAAACAACACTACAATTTAAAATCAAGTGCACTTCAACAATATCTCATTCTCTAAGGGAGCTATCCCTTCCTACTGTGTGAAGTGAGATACACAAACTAAAAGAAAAAAATATCTAAAGATTCAATCTTCACTGTAAGGCTTTGGGTGGGGTGCTGTGTCGTTACCGATGTTATGCGTTCATTGAGATGTCAGTGTTGGTGACAGAACATATATGTGGATATACCCATAAACAGACATTCTAACATCACAACCTCTGTAACATCTGTACATTAACAGAAATGCAACTATGTGACAAGATAAGACGTCGACTGTGTAATGGACTCTGGGAAGAGTCAGGCAGTGGGCTTGTTTGTGCTAAAACTGCTATAAGCCGTTCATCAGAATGGGAGCAAGAAGAAGGTGACAGCTCTGGTGTCGGCACCTTACCTGGGCCAAACAGTATTTGTAAGTCATTTCCAGTGTTTATTCGAACGCTCTCAACAGTACCAGATGGATGGAGTTTATTGCATTGTGGATAATTCAGATAAGTTCAGCCAGATGAGTTTCCATGATGTAAGATATCAACTGTCAGTCACAGACGGTTTAAACGTCTCAGGTTTTTTGCGTACTGCTCCGCAGATGGCTGATTTACGCCACATGGGATTGTAAACTTGAACAAAAATCAATTCAATGTACGTTTCTATGAAAAAAACTACCTGGCTCTCTCTGAATGATTCAACAATCCTCCCTTCCACTCTGGTAACTTGTATGGTTTTCAACAAACACTATGAATGAACTACATTTACCAACTAATCCAGGTCTGACTAGGATTATATGTGACTCCACAACATGGATAATGACATGCTGTATTTAGCCAAATTTAGCCCAAGTAGGTCACAATCACACTTTCATGGACTTTTTAGTTTCCTACTGTACAAAAAGAAAAACATATTTAACCTCTAATCTTCTTATATCCTTGTAACTGGACAAATTGAAACAAAAATGAACTTTGAGGTAATGAAATCAGACACAATGTTTCATCTGTAATTTCAACTCTCTATATCCAATATCAAACAATGTCCTATCTATATAGTAGGCCAGTTAAGACATTAAAATGCAGCAATTCACAACTGCCTTAGTGCGTGTTACATACTCAGTATATATAACAATATGCATTAATGGCATTTCACGTTTAACATTCTCAATAACACATAATGTACTGTACCTGGATTATAACACACAAAATGATGCTGGTACATTGTTAAACAAAGGAAACTGCTTAGTCTTGACATTACAGGGTTTCACATTTAGGACAAAAATATTTTTGTTTTGTTTTTTTGTGGTTGGATTTGAACTATTTATCATGTCATAAGCTAGAAACACCATCAATCATTAGCAGTTTAAAAAAGATTTTAACAAGATTTGTTCAGCAGCAGGTGGCAGTGTTTATCTGTTACTCTATGCATAAGAGAGTGTGAAGCCAGCAGTGTAGCCATCATAGAAGCTTTCTTTTTATGCAAACTTTAGTGTATCTTTGCTTCACCCAAAAAGGGAGTGTTTACAATTTTGTGTAAATAGTGGCTACAAAAGGTGACAGAAAACTTCTATCATGGCTAGTTTGGCTACCACAGAGTGTTTATCAAACCCTATTGTGGGAGCCTTAATCCAAAACTGTCATGATTTAATCAGTAAGCAGGTTGGTGCAGGCAGTTGATGCTATAAAGTACATACCCTCATCCTGGACCAATATGAAGAATTTGACCCCAATAATTCTCAAATTTAAACATATGCGGTATGTAAAAGAAATACTGAATTGTGTAGAGTTAGTTGTTGCTTTTTGTGTATTCAGAAGGAGGGCAGTATTGTAGAGCAGATGCTAATATTTGTATGCGTGAAACCCCAGTCCATGTAAATGACAAACAATTCTATCATAAACATTTAGAAATGGCTTTTGTTCAATACAATATGGTCACTTGGCACAGTCAGTCTTGGTGTGAAATGTATTTGTGTGAGCATTTCTCTCTGCCTGTAGACTAACGAAAACTAAAGTTATGGTCTATTCAATAGGGCATTGTTGTGTGGTTTGGGGTTCATGACGAGAAGGTGGGAAAATGCAGCGTACCACACACGCCACATTATACTTGAAAATGGTCTCAAATTTGAGCTTTACAGATCTGAAACATTTTCAAGTGTATGAGATGAGTGTATTGGAGTAGACAGAAACATGTGTATGAACCAGCACTGAGACCATCACTGGGAGCCAGAATCAGTGCAACCTTGTGACGTCACCCACGAGAGACATCACAACTGCACTCATGTTCTCACTATTCTCTCTATTGCCTTCTCTGACTTGTTCTCCTGGCCAATAATGAATCAGAGGCTACAACTACACTTGACATTTCAATGCATGTCCGAGTTTTTATTTAAAAATTGGATTTTATGAGATCAAATTGCTAACACATGGCCTAAAATGGCCTCTTCTGGCTGTATTTATTTCTTAGTCTGATAAACTCGCAACTGGCTGGGTTGCTTCCCAGTAATGGAAAACTAAAATACTACATACATAGTAAAACTCAAGGGAAGCAACTAATTTAATAATTATTTTCATTATTGATTGATCCAAACACTATTTCCTAATGGATTGCTTGTTCGGTCTAAAAATAGTGACAATGATCATCACCATTTGCGCGAGCCAACTGTGATGTCTTACAACAGTCTTTTTGTTTGACTAATAGAGGCAAAACACAAAAATATTCAATTTAAGGCAGCAAATCTGCATGTATAAGGAACTGGAACCATTAAATGTTTGGCAAGTTACTTTTTACGTTTAGTCAAATTTTCTGTCGATCAACTAGCCGATGTGAGCAAGATACATTTTATTTTACATCTTTCTACAAGAGAAAATAACTAGGTTGGCTTAAGCTCACTTGTCTGATGGTCAAGTTTGTAAAACACTTGATGATATGCCCTTATCATAGATAGTTCAGAGAAAATAAAAAAACTTTATCAAATAAATTGCCTGGAGGTGGCGCAAATGTTAAACAAATCCTCTTTTCGGGAGATTGTTACCATGGAAACATAGAGTTAGCCTGACTAACTTTTTAGGCTTAAAACGGGTTAGTCTTTCTTTGTGAAACTGTCTTGCTTACATTCCACTAATCTAAAACTAAAATGAAGGCTAGCCTAACATTACAGACCCGTGGTTGAGCAATGACTGAACAGCTCCCCCTAGTGGACCCTGCGAAATGGGAATTTTGTTTGTGAGCGAGTTATAAGTCAATTCCATGGAGTGTTTTGCATCTAAAAACAATGTATTGAAATGGAAAGTGTAGCTGGAGAATCAATTCATTGTCATCCAAACAAACCCAGATATTAATTTGATATATAACAGAAAACTTTCAACTCCTTTTGAGAAAGTAAATATTTCGAAGCTCCAAATATACGGGTGATGGGACTGAATATATCCTAGGACATGATGACATGTATGCAGTAAAGTCATATGCAGGATAATCCATATCCATCTTATGCTGCCACCTGCATCTTGCTGTATATTATAAATAAATTTGCACTACCATGGAAACTTGCAACTGTTCAAAACACTAGTAAACACGATGATTACATGCCTCAGAATTCCAGCTAAGCTTGGAAAAACCCTGCTATCATAAGCAACTTTTGCACAATTGCGATAAGAAATATCACAATTAAAACATGTACATCACAAACTGACAATGAATGTACATGTAAACAACTGTGGAACAGAAAGAATGGAGGAGCTATTCTGTGATGTCATATACAAATATAACATGATATATAAAGGACTTAAGACATACTGACGATATCTACACGTTATAGACACATTGCTCATACATTCATATATGTCAACACTTAAATATGTATATACAGTATACATGTATATATTCATATGTATACAGATATATCAAAGGAGGAATAAATAGTGCCATTAATGAGGTGAGACAACCTAGTTTCCATTTTCCTCTCTAGTGAGACAACTATTCTCCTGGATTCATGCTAACATGCCCCAGGCCATTTGTTCACGAGAAATATGCAATCTGATGTGTGGGACATAATGGTTGAACTACAGACACTCCTGACTTTCCATCTGTCTACACCCCCTCATTCTCACACTTTCATGGGCATTTGTCTCATAGAACAGCTCCGTCTCTCTTGAGGAGTGACCTGGTGCAGGTTTTAAAAGCACTCCCATCGCTGTCCTTCCTGGCACTAGGTCTAGTTTACAGTATTATGCCCAGTAATAACTACAGTGTCTTTCAAAATGTATTGTTGAACTACTGTTGCCTATATGTAATAACTACAGCCTGAATAGTCATATTTAGATGTGATTACATTCTATATATCTGATGGGGTATTGACATATATTGCAATGCTTTAGTACATACAACCAAAAAAGGCTTTGTGATTTGACCCTGTGTGTGCATAAAGTCAGGCATGATAAATTACTGTATGACACACACACTTTGGAGTGAGACAAGTGACATGTAGTGTATGGACCTCTGACAAACTGTGTTGATGAAACAGTGTAACTGAATACTGGCCGAATGGCTGTGTCAGGGAATTGGCAGTGGACAACTCTCTGGCGTGATGACTGGAACCTTCTTTTGAAAGTGGGTGGCATCCTTCCCTGGTGATGCATTTGACAGGCCTCTAGTTTGAAAGCGGTAAAAACTTTAACACCCCTATGCTACTGAAGATTTTGATAATGAGGTGTGTTACAAATACTCTGCTAAAAGTATTAACTAATATTAAAACAACTGATGACGTCCACACTAAGCAGGCTAAATTTCTTTCCATTTTAGCCTTCTGTCCACACTAATTTGGCGTTTTTCTCATTTGAAATCAGAGCTTTCTGAAAATGGACTCCAGAGTGGATGAATCTGAAAACTGCATTTTAGTGTGGATGAGGAATACCTACTGAGCTTGGTAATAAATGGCTTAAGTCTGTCCAGAGAGTTGGGGACTGTGTAAAAAAGCACTTTCTGTCACTTTTAACCTGCTCTGACACATAGCACAGCAACTAAAAATCATTTTCACTATTGATTCATATGCCAATTATTTTTTCAATTAATAATTTTTTTGTATAAAATGTCACAAAATAGTGGTAAATGCCATGGCATGAAATCCTCAGATTTACCATTATTGAGTGTATTTTCGCTTGAAAAACAATGAAAACAATTAATCAATTACCAGCTGACACAGCTCTCCTGACCAGATGTTGGCTGTGATGCTCAGTTTGGTTGCCTGCTGAATAAAAGACGAGGAAGAAGAGATTTAGTGGGAGCGGAGATCTCAAAAGCGATGACGGACGACATTTTGCCATGTAAACAACATTTTTAAAATAGCGGGCTTAGTGTGGGCATTGGCAAATTTGAATGAAAAAAAAACCCAGGAGCATATGATTCATTTGAGAAAACACCCTTGCTAAAACAAAAACCATACTATGTATACTTTAGGAGATAGTAAATCGATAACACAACTTTGATGATACTGCATGTATAACTATTTAACACTAGTGAGTGACAGAAATGTCATGAGGTGAATACTGAAACATTATAGTGATTACAAAGATAACTTAATAAAAGAACTGAAAATAAGTTAAGGTCTAACAATGTCTATTTAAGTAGCAGCAGTTTCAGCACTCGGCCAGTGTCCACATGCATTCAGGCACGGTACGGAGTCTCCCGCATTTTGGCAATGCTCGTAACCCAACAAACAATCAATGTAGTTACACGTGTAAAACAGAAGAATATAGATTTTAAGAGACTATGTAAAATTACCAACTAAACTCTGGAAATATTTGACATTTCTTATTAAGGGTATAATAATTACCTCTAACACACTGAAACTGAACCAGCAGATTGTGTTTAGATTAAAAATGTCTATCTTATTCAGATGATGGAAGTCGGCTACAGGTTACTGATGGTCAATAAAATTAAATTTTGACAGTCCTGTTCTCATCTCCTGCTGCCTTCATACAACAGAAAATTGTAATGACTTCAAATGAATGTCATTCTTACTATTTCTAACGCAACAGGAATTTGAATTTGTAAACAAGCCACTTTAGAAATTAAATACTGTAAATGAGCTGATTTGACCTTTTCTGCTTTTAAAGAGGATATTCTTTTAATAATAGCTCGAACTTTGCCATTGTTGAAGCCAGTTTTAGTGATCCCGCCAGCTTTAGTGACCGACAAATGTAATGCTAGCGCCGTCAAACTAGAGGCCAGAGTCAAGGATGCTGATTGAAATGCTACACAGAGCTACAGCTGGCATTTGAGTGTGAGTGTTTGTGCATTAAATATCTGTCCCCACAGGTAGAAGAGAAGAGAATTAAGGGTTGAGTGGGCAAACAAAACTGTGAGGGGCTTTTTCAGTTTTCATGGAATGTTTGGGATTTTGCTCCATCCATTCACATATCGCTCTCTGTGTAACATACCGGACTTATTGTGTCTGCAGGTTGCAGCCACATGCATGTGTGGCCCTCTGGACTTATATCTAAGAGTTCATTTGAAATTTATAGTAGTACTCCTGCTGGCGGAGACATCGCTGACGTTCCCGGCAGTGGAAAACTATGGAATGATTGTGCTATAATCTTCTATTTAAGGAAATCTTAAAAATCAGGGCGAAGTTGTTACCTTCTCAACCTCCGGGAATTGAAGGAATGCTTTAAGTAGCTCAATTCAGAAATCTAGAGCTTTTGGGTACTAGCAGCAAGACATCTGCACATCTGTGTGGTGTAGAGTTAAAAAAGGGGGATGAGGGGTTTGTTTGTTTGTTAAGTATTTTAGATCACACTTGTAGAAGCAGGCAGAGGACTGACAAATTTCCCCTTACAGTGCAGCAGTGACAGATGTGAACTGGATATTGGAAAGAAAACAGCATGTACGTGTGTGAGACGGAGTGTGTGCATGAGGAATAATTATCTACACAGATAAATGCATGTATGTTTTGTGTGTCAAATGGGTGCTGGTTTGGTCAGGGTGGGGTCAGTCTCTGAGAGCAACTGAAACCTGTAAAAGGCATGATGGGAGGATACAGCGCAGAAGGTCTCCTGCTTTCATTTGGTCTTTAGTTTGCCCACCTCCCCGTTCAGCTTGCCCTCCTTTGCCAGCTTCTCGTTAAGTTGGCACAGTTGGAGAAGGAAGCCGTCATTAGGACCAATTTCTCTCTTCTGTCTCACAGTGGCCACTGCCTGCCGGACATCCATTCTATGGCGCAGCATGAGGTAAGCAACTACCATGGTAGGGGAGCGGCTGTAGCCTTCTCTGCAGTGTACATATACCTTCCCTGGAGGATACAAATAGAGAAATAGAACAATAAGATGAGTATGCTGTACTTGGTGCAAGGCTTGTTTCACCAGAGTCACAAAAACATATGCCAGAGAGAAATGCTGAGTCTTATAAAACATTTTAAAGGAAGGGCTGGCAGTATTCTACAGTATCTATATTTTAATGTCAACAAATCCAACATAAACAATAAAAACAACAATGCGTTAACCCATCAATGACTTCTCTACCCTGTCTGTGGCTCTCAGCTCCAAGCCCATTGGTTCCTTCCAAAGATTCTTAAATCATTAAACAGCTGGGCCTTGTAGTTTTTAGCAAACATTACTCAAACAAGAGTTAATAGTAATTCGTTGGGGACTATTTGCAGCTGCGGATTAATACACAGTATTTACAGCTTCAGGATGGCGTATGTGGGATTATGTTACAGAGTGTAGTTTAAAAAACCACAATGTGTGTGTTTATTGTAATGAAGGAACATGTCACTCAGTGTAATGATGTGGCTCAGTGATGTGTTTTTTAATATTAATTAAATTAAGATATATCAGGGTCTGACTACATGGAAATACTGGTTAGCAGGATCAATTAATTGTTGACTATAAGACATATTGAAGAGAAATAATATAGATGTTTGAAGTTACAGTAGATTGATGTTAAACAATGTATATGTTATATGATATTTCTGTTGAATTGCATATTTTGATTCATGATGAAACGTTTTGTCTCTTTTTAAATTTAAAGTCACACTCAAACGGCAGTAAGTGCATCTTTAGCTCCTACAATGTGATGGGTTTCTGAGGGTTTCTCAAAAGTGTCTATGGCTAAGCAAATATGAAGAGATACCTTTATGTAACTGTAACATATTGCGATACGGAGCTGCTTAGCATTGGCATCCATGCACAACTACATCACTCGCATTGATATAAAAACACTCAAGAAAAGGTAGTTTCAGGGTTTTTTGACAGAAACTAAGGATAAAGGGATAACTCACATGATTATGACTTTGAAATTGTTTGTTTCATTTCACAGCACATTTAAAGGACCAAACAGAAAAAAACATACAGGATTTCTGCTTTATAGTTGTTGTTTTTTCTGGCTGAACAAGAAAAAATGGAGAGGAGGAAGACAAATGAGGAAAGAAAGAAGAAACAATTTAAACAAAGAAGAGTAAAAGGGTTGAGGAACATATGCTGTGATCAAACTTGCCTAGCAAAGCATCTTCTGTGCCAGGAGATGCAAATACAAGACCTGACCTCTGCTGCAGACTCGGCAAAGTCAATCATCTTCACTGCATCCGCATCCTACAGCGAACCCACATCCTGCATATAATCTGTGCTATCTATGTGTGCACATAATACATGTATGTTCTCTGTACTGAATTTGTATTTTTATCGCTATGTATCTGTGTCTCTTAAATGCGTAAATCATGACTTGTTTGTTTGTCTCTATCTGACTTACACTTTCATTAGTGACTGGCCAAAACCCACGAGGAATCTAGCTTGGCAACGTTTGCAGAGCAGCTGATGTGCCGGGCTCAGGTCAGATCTGCAGATTCTGCACTTTATTTGAAACCCAACACCTCTCTCTGTCCCTCACCCCAGTATTATCCCCAATTCTCTCCTCTCCTCTGTTGTATAATCTCCTTCTATCCTCTCCTCCTCTATACTCAACCCAGAACAGCCTGCTGCCAATGAAATTACCTCTTCAATACCTAATCACCCTGCCTGCCACAGATCAATGTTGATTCTACTGTATCCTCTTGTTAGACACGCAGAATCTCTGGCTCACCACTCATTTTTTCACTCCATCGCTCACTCGCTAGCAGGGCTGTCACTTATAATTCAAAATAAGAATTTTCAGACAAATGTGGAAGAAAATTACAAATTCAAAATGTACAATTTATAAACGCAAAACCCAGCTTAAAGTAGTTTGCCTTGTGGTCCAGCAGATGGCACATTTCATATCAGCGTGATTTATCGCATGCCCTAACATCAGTATACCAAGAGTGTCTCTAGAGGGGTGGCATTGGGTGGCACGTGCCACTTGTGAAATCTGATAGGCCACCCTAGGGGCTACCTCAATTTCCTAAAGTGTGACTAGTTATGTGCGCCAGTACAGTCAAAGGTGTCACCTTAGATCGAAACGTACCTTTCAAGTGTCTTAAGACTAGGGTTGGGTTTCGTTTAAAATTTTATGATACCAGTACCAAACCCAGTACCCTTAAAGTGATACCAATACCAATTGAGTACTTCACCTGATTGGTAGCAAATTATTATTTATTTTTATTGTTGGACAAGCAAGGTTATCTATTTTATTTTTTTCTTGTTTCAAATAACTGCTACATAAAAAGTACTGGGAAATTGTATCACATCGCTCCCCATCTAATTAGGTCATCCTCACTGGTAGTATTAGCCTATAGCCAAAGGGGAAAGACTATAGCTTGTGAGTTATTTTATATTTGAATGAGAGAGGAGTGAAATAGTTTAGTGACCAAATAAGTTGTGGGAAACGAATTTAAGGTATTGTTGTGATAATTGTGTTGAAAGTAAACAACGGAAGATTATTTTATTAACTTTCGATCAATAAACTGAACTGAAAGATCTCCGCGAGTGCTTTTTCCTTTAGTGGTGAGCCGCAAACCTCCGAAAATACAACAGTCACAAGAATAAAACGAGAAAGAAGTTTAAACAAGTCACTAAACTACAAAGATAGCTGTTGCGCCACGAAAGCATTTATTGATGTAATGGAACGCAGCGATCGATCAGTGACAAGTGATGTGAATAGCAAATAAAAATGTACAGAGAAGTGTTAAATGATACCAGAAGATGAAACCAAGGGAAAGCCAAGCTTGTGGTGATAAACTTGCAACAGTGACGAACATGCCTGAGACGCAGCCAAAGGAGAGCGGCTGTTAAAATCACCCTTAGACTCTGTGGCACATAAGGAGAAAAAAAAGAGTGCTCTTCTCTTTCTTTCGGTGTGTTGCTTGCTTGTTTGGCTGCACTACTCCATACCGACATCACAGGTAAAACAACTAATTAATCGCCTTTCGCAGTATTTAGAGTAGTCAGTGAGTTAAGCCCCTTATTCTGTCTCTGTCTGACACTTGGTATCATTAACAATAGTAATAATACAATAACATGAAACACTTTACATGCAAACTCTTTAGTGATGTATTATTCTACAATATGTTACATCTAAATGAGGTTTAAATATTTAATTCATCTTTGATTCTATGTTAAAAAAAGTGCAACAGTTACAGTTACAATAACCATTACCCACAATAACTAATTAACTGTAACTGTTCCAGCCACACAGAAGATTATGCCAGCTAGTGAAGTGACAGCAGCTGAGAAATTATGGCAATATGGCGTTAAGAACAGAAAAGCGGCTTTCAGACGCAAAATTTGGCAGCAGAGACACCAGAGTGGAGCCCATTTGTTTTGAGATGCTAGAGCTCTAGTGCAGCATTTGGAGGCAGTGAAAGTCACATGCAGCTCCTTTAATTAGCTACAGCTGAGTAAATCTAACAGTGACATTGTTCATTAGAGCTTCTGGTCACAGACTAAACCTAAAATCCTACAGGTTGGTAAGTTACTGTTAAACTATGTAAGTTATAATTAAATTTGCAGCTCTAGCTTTTTGAAAATCACAATTTGTAGAATTGAACTGAGATTTTAAACGAGGCTCTGTAGAGTCATGTGATACCTCTGTGGGTTCATCACTGACACCTTTCAACTTACACATAGCGATTTGATCCACTGTGAATATAAAAATTATTGATTAGTGCAATGTGCTGGTAATTCTATTGAGTTTCTACTTAATATTCAGATAAAAGTATGCAGCCTGTAAACATGACCATTGACTACTCATACAGTAACCTCATGTCTTCATTATGGCAGACAGGAGCAATGCACAGATGCAGTTCCTCATTAAAATCCTGGATCCAAGACCTTTCCACAGTTTGTAGCTAGGGGTCACAAAATGTCAAAGATAATTTTGCACATAGCACAAGTAAGACACTTCTTCCTAGTTCTGCTCCTTTATCTCTCCTTCACAGTCCTGGTTACAGTAGCTCTTCACTCCTGATTTACTACAGTGTTGGTAGACCTTTGCCAAACTGCCTGTGAATTAAGATGCCCGTCTATGTCAAGGCTGACGATAAATGTATCCCATAAAACACAAGGTTAAGCACACTAATTAAACACATCCCTCATGTGCGGTGATGAATTAACTAAATTTAGTTGTAGCTTTGGGAGAGCGGGGGGAGAGATCTTTTTGGTCGGGGAGGGCTGAGGCCTCCTGGGATGGATTGTTTCTTCACTCTAGTCTAAATAGTCAGCTTTCAACACGTGAAATATTAAAATTCACCTGACTAATTAGCTATATCAAGTGGCTAATTTAATCCATTTTGACCATTTGTCATACACCATTTCATTACAGTTACCCAGTCCAAAAGTTTTGCGTCACCTGTTTAATAAATGAGGTGAATTGGGCTTTGGTGCTACAGGTATGTTATGTGTGGAACATTTTGACGGTGTTGATGTCCAGGGACATGATCTGATAATGGAATATGGAGCAGGGCTCAGGAGTGTCAGATTTAGCCTGAGATGCTTAGGGCTGTCATGACTATCTTCTGTCTTCACTTAAAATCCCCTCAATGAAGTCTATTGAGATTTAACCATTAAAATATGCCTTTGATTTTATATCCTTTGCTGCACATAGGAACTTGTTTTTATGTCTTAACTTATAGAAACAAGTTACTTTCATGTGGGAGCTACTGAAGTGAGAAAGACAATGTGTTTTCCTTTGATCTCTTCTACCTTTCAAGGATTTTAAGACATAATTTATCAATTCTCTGTTATGTGCATCTGAACGTTTTGATCACAGGTCATATTACATTTCCTGCCAATATCTGCCAATAACATTTTCATGGTAATTTTGGCCGTACTGACACTGACATTATTACTGTATATAGTCTACTGTCTAACAGTTGAGTTTGCCAGTTATACTTTGAGAGTGATGCTTTGTGAAGATGCACAAAAATTCAGCTTTATTAAAACCTTTTTCTGATTCATTTTAACTGATTTCAACTTTTAGCTAAACTTTTCCAAAAGGCTGCAATCCCTGTTATTGTGACTGTGGTGGAGAAACATTGTAAAATGAGTGCAGCAAAACAATTTGTGAGCACAACAATGACTAATCATCATAAGTTGATATGGAGAACAGTTGCTTATTTCCACAACCAGCTGTTACCAAGCAAGTGTATCATTCATTTAGATCAATGTTTCTGAGCACTTGGCCAACTTAAGTGCAATATTCGCTCTCCTTTTAGCTCTGTTTCTCCACCAAATCCTTGCTTTTTAGCTACTAACATTAAATTCTCCAGTTTTGTTCACCTGCTACACAACACTAGCTTCGTCTGCCCTCTGGTGCTGAGCAGGCAGTGAACAGTTTTGGGTTTTTTTGCTTAAAAAAGGAAAATTATGGTATGAGAGCGATGAGAGTGAAATAAAACAGAAAAGTGCGGGAAAATAAAGAGAACTGAAAGACGTTAACTGAAAGATGCTAAAATGGTCTGTAGCACTCAGGGGAACTGCAATCACGTGACAATTCTCTGTGGGTTCATTATGAGCAATAACATAACAAATTGTCATGTGAACCAATGTTAATATAAAAATATTTATTATATCAACTTTTAGAATTTAGCTCATTAGCCCAATTAAGTGAGCAATAACACACCCCGAAACAGAAAAGGGCATAATAGATTGAAATTCATTGGGGGCTGGAGCTGAGCTTAAAATTTCCACATATTATACCTCACAGCTAAAAATAAACTCACCTTTGCCATTATTGTGCGATAGGGCCTTGTCAATAAAATCAGCCCCTTCCTCAAAGAAGGCACTGAGGTGGAACTGCACGGTGTCATTGGCCTGGATACCATGGTAGGTGATGCCCGTGCCGGCGTAGAACTCCGCACTGGTGTTGACATGCATGAAGGAGGTGCCCTCTGCCACATTGAGGACGTGTGTTACTCCAAGTTTCTGCAGACGCATTGCATTCTGGGCTACAAACCTGGGTGGGTAGGATGAAATTCAGTATCAGAGTGGAAAAATACATTAATTTTAAATCGTTTATTAAGTTGCTGAAGTCTGTGACAAGTCTGCTGCACTGAAACAAAGTTTGTACACTAGTAAAAAATTGTGCCTCTGTTGATGGTAATAAAAACTTTTTGTGCCCTCACATCACAAAATTATTAGTTTACAGCAGACATCTAAGACAAATAACAGCACTAATAATAACACCTGACAGATACAGCAAGGGAGTGTGTCAGCACAATTTATTTTAAAGTGATATGTTGACAATGTGGGTTGCATCTTTTACGACAACTCTGCATACGTTTTAGTGAACACTGTGCTGGCAGTACTACTTGACACACAGCCAAATACTGTATATCTGCAGGGAGGTGTAAAAGATGTTCTGCAAGTACTCAAATGTGTCTTTTGTTGCATGTCATTCCAAAGTGAGTACTAAAAGTCAGCAAGGATGATGACTTTATTGATTATAGCTTTTATTAATCCAAAAAAATTAAAAAGAAAGAAAGAAAAAAAGAAAAATAGAAAAGCTGTAAAGAAAAATGTAATGTAAAAGTAATCTTATTGTGTAAAACTTTTCTTTTCCTACTGGACATGTCAAAATGTCCCCTGTGCCTATTAAAGTGATAAAGGTGTTAATTCTCTTGCCTTAACATTAAAAAAAAGAAAAGCTGTCTACACCACACAGTCCTACGAGGTCCAATCACATTTATTAACACCTGTGTGGGTGGACCATATGAGTGTAGGCCTGTCTGAATAAATTAATTACATTTACAATGATAAGAAGCTTAATAGACAATTAAGTAGAAGCACAGTGAGCATACGTACCATAGAGATGTTGACCATCTATCCGCTGGACCAGAAAGCTACAAGAACTACAATGGATGCATACACTCATGTGGCATTATGATAGCAAAACTGTTTCTGCATGCCCAAGTGCTTAAGAGGAAAGTATGGTGCTCTAAAATAAAGTAACAATAGTCAGGAACAGGCAGGAAGTGTGAAGAGTAAGGCAGAGGACAGAAACAGGGGAGCAATGTAAGTAGGAGAAAGAGAAAGACAAAACCAATTAACTTTTTCTTCTTTTCACTTCAAGCAGGACTAGAGACTGAAAGAGATGGCTATAGGGCTTCATCTTGATCTCTTTATTCTCAGCCAGCTTTACCTCCATCTTCATCTACTCAACTTCCAGGAAACAGTGTATCCACTCCTGTTCCACTCTTCTTTGTTTGTAAGAACTACAATACTGCACATTAGGCCTACAGAGAGCAAACAAACCAACACAGCTAACAAACCGTAGCAAAGCAATACAGGGTTTTGGCTGCTCCGGCCTGCCTGGCTCAATGCCTCTGTCCACTGACACGATCCAACCTGGCCAAAGGCCCTGCCCATTGATTCTAGATAAAATGCATATGTTACATTAAAGTTTTATTGAACATTTAGTGTCACCAATTAGCTGTACAGAATTTATGTTTAAATAACAAAAACTGCGCCATGTTGCTGCTATACAGCTAACAGAAACACTATTTAATGCTTAAAAAACTAGGAGCTGAGTTATTTCATAAAGATGCACAAAACTGGAATTATACCTAAGTTGTGATGACTCATACAATGCCAAATATATGGTATAAGCAACAAAATGTTCTTGTTTTAAATTCTATAGAAGCTGAAACTTTCTATTCCTTATTTGCTTTATTTTTATTCTGACTTAAGAATAATACATCTTCATTTAAGATGCTCACCCTGACAGCCCTGTGTGCTTACAGTCAATATGAGGCTGGTGAGGCGAGGCTAGGTGACCCTGGACAGCTCCCCAGAGGTGGTGGCTGCAAAGCCCCCTCTGCAAAGAACTAATAATAAAATCCTCCCTACCACCATTTTGCTTTACGGCCATAGGAGGAGAGATGAAGGAGGCCATCTGCTTGTGTGTCAGCTGCAGGGCAGAGACTCCTTCAGATGTGAGGACTCCAATCAGCTACGCAAGACATTCATATTATTCCACATTTAATTCAGAATATGTCTGGGTATATTTACATGTGAGCTTGTGTGCACATGATTGAGTAAATGCTTACATGTACAGTATGAGCACTTACAATGCAACAAAGGTACAGCCTGTTTCAAGCATGTGCATCTGTGTGTGTGGAACGAGAAGTGACTGTACTGAAGTACCTGAGCAGCACTGCCCAAGTTTACTGTACCTCCACAGAACACAATGCAGAGGCACACTAGGTTCAAGTGAGTTCACAGCCAATGGCTCTCTTCCTTTTTACCTGCCCTGTCCTCACCCTGGGATCTGCAGTTCCACAACATCCATTATTAAAGACCAGCTTCACAAAGAGCCAACGTGTTTCTGAGAGCAAACAACCACACCTTAAGTGTGTCCCTGAGCTGCACATGGTGGTTTCATAGTGCTGACTACGACTGATCTGAAATCAGTGTAAGAGGGTTTGAGTTCGGGAAAATACAGTCATAATCCATTTAGGGGATGGAAACATTTTACTGACTTGTTCAATAAAGTGCCAGAGACGAATCTTTTTTAAAGCTTTGTTGTATCACTGGAGTGGTACTGTTTTTTCCCATTGCCCTCTCATTCCCAGATGTCTTCTATTCATCTGTTTTGGATAATTTAATGCTTAGTCTCTAGGATTATCTTTTAGCAGAATGTATACCAGCAGTGGGTGATATGGATTAAAATTCTCTGTCACAGTACATAAACTTTGATATTGCAATTAAGATATATTTCAGCACAAAAATATTAAGAGATGCAGATGCTCCCATACATGGCAAAATGGTTTATGACCATCACAGTCTCCAAATCTCAACACAGTTGAATATCTATGTGAGATTTTGGCCTTTCTCTCAGGCATTTGGACTGAAAACATCCATCGGTTAAAACAATGCAAGGGGCTATGTTATGTCGAATTTTGTATGCCTGCCGAGAATTGCATGAATATGCAATAAAATTCTGCTTTTAAACGCTATACTGTTATTTGTGGGGTTCATCAATAGTGCTAAATGATCTGCATGTATTTAATGAACGTTAACAATTGTTAACATATTATTACACTTAGTAAAACTAGGCTACCATTTCTTGAGATTCAGCAAAAATATGTGGTGTTAACCACGTTCAAACAATGTGAACAGCAAAGTGTCTGAAAAGGACCTTAATAAGTGAATGCATAATTCGGTAAAACGGATGTTGTAGGCTACCTGACGAAATTTGCATCCACCTCTTTTCTCAGTATAACAGAGCATTACCTCCCGCGAGGTGTATGCAATTCATGGCAGGCATGCAGAATGCGGCACAGCACCTGCGCTGCAAAATGTCACTGACTTGACGTGGTAACTTCGACAGCTGTTTTCCAAGGTTAACATAGCTCTCCTTATTAGCTAGGGTCTTTACATGCTTGCTAATAACTGTTTTGAAAATGGGTCTCCAACATTGACAGCATTGTGTTGGACAGGTTTGTGCAGTGGTGTTTATGATACCAACCATTCAATTCACAAACGGATCTGTTGTCCGTGTTTGCGAGAGAGAGAGAAAGAGCGACTGGGGGTTGTATGTGTCATCCTCAAGCTCGGGTCCTCTACCAGAGCCCTGGGAGTTTGAGGGTTCTGCACAGTATCTTAGCTGTTCCTAGGACTGCACTCTTCTGGACAGAGACCTCTGATGTTTTTCCTGGAATCTGCTGTAGCCACACACACACTCAGTTTGGGGGTCACAGCCCCCAGTGCTCCGGTTACCACTGGCTCCACTGTTGCTCTTACTTTCCACATCTTTTCTAGCTCCTCTTTCAGCCCTTTGCATTTCTCAAGCTTCTCGTGTTCCTTCCTCTTGATGTTGCTGTCGCTTGGGATTTCCACATCTATCACTGCAGCCTTCTTCTGCTGTTGGTCGATCAATACGATGTCTGATTGGTTAGCCATCACCAGTTTGTCTAGCTAGCTGAACTGTGTCCGCCTCAATATGATTGTTTTAGTCAACCGAGGGTCAGTGGTCGTGGTGGTGGGCTAGTGAGCGTGTACAGGAAAAATTTTAAATGTCATCAAGTACACTGTGATGAATTTAACTCCTTTGAAGTTCTCACTCTTAAACTTGGAGGGCTGCAACCTATCATATTTGTTATAATTTATTGCCCCCCAAAACCGCCTGGAGGATTTTTATCAGAGCTTCCTGAATTTTTAGCTACTCTGGTTTTAAATTATGACAGAATTGTTCTTTGTGGCGATTTTAATATTCATGTTGATGACCCCACCAATGTTAATGCAACTGACTTTTTAAATATGGCCACTTCTTTTAACTTCAAAAAACATGTCAAAGGGCAAACGCATAACCGTGGTCATACACTGGACTTGGTTTTTACCCTGGGTGTCAGCATTTCCTCTGTGGAATTAGTGGACATGACCATATCTGACCACAGATGTATTGTTTTTAGCTGCGATTCGCCTGTTACTCATGCCGCCTCACCAAGCTCCGTGTGTTCTCGAATCTTTAATGAACAAAGTGTTTCAAAGTTTTGCGCATTCTTTCAGAGCCAAAGCCAACACCTGTCTGATTCCAACACCAACAATCTGGTCGATCAATTCAATCATATAGATCTGCTTGCAGGAAAGCAGAGCACAGATGGAAAAAATCCAGTCTCCGAGTCCATTACCTCAGTCTGAAGGATTTATTAATTAACTACAATAACATGGTTAAGGATGCGAGAACAAACTATTTTTCTGAACTCATTACTACACATAAACACAATCCCAGGTTTCTGTTTAAGACAGCTGGTAAACCCAACCCCTCCTTGTGCCTCAGCTGGAAGTAATGATGACTGTGAATTGTTTTTTATCTTATTTTACCAATAAGGTGGTGTCAATCAGAGCCTCTATTACCCCCAAGGAGGTCCCTCACCAGCAACAAGAGAGTTTTAACCAGTTTTATCCCATCAACTTGTCTGAGCTTTTAAAAACAGTATCACAAATGAGAGTGTC